ATTCACAAAGGGCGCGTTGCTGCTTTGCGGGATTGCCGATTTGAAGAATTCAATCATCCACCCTACAGCTCAGACCTAGACACTAGCACCTACCCAGTTTTCGTGACGGATAGAGTTAATTTTACGTCCCGCGTATTTCTTGTTCTTTTCACTCTATAAGCTCGTGCAGAATCTTTCTGGAATACTCAGCAAAATATCTTGCGCTTGGAGGATGGTAAAACTATTCAATACGTAATATAAATTCAATCACCATCTGCGTTATCTTATTACCAGCCTCTTACGTTTGTATTAACATTTTACTAGTAATAAATTAAATTATTCCCGATAAAATTAATCTCGTGATTAAGTTAAGATTTAAGCTTACATTATAAAGTTCGAATTCACGTAAATTTAAGAAATATTTAACAAAAAGCTGGCCTTAAAAATAAGTATTCAAAATGTTGTATATAATGTCTTCTTGACATATTTAGGTGTATATACTCTAAATTCAAAAAAGTGTACTAATCATTCATTTTTATTTGCAATAAGACAACACAAAATAAAAGAGAATTTTAGAAAAGAACTCGACAAACACACAGCGTTGAGATATATAGCCTTGTTTTTCTCAAAAGCGAAAAATGGAGTCACTGAAACGTTACGTTTTCCTTGATATCGGATATTTTAGATGGTAACACTTTTATTATAAAGCTAACACAAAAAAACGTTAGAAACACGGAGAGTAGATTTATTGTATCTTTCATGGTGTAAACTATAAAATAATAAAAAGCAAAATCTGCCATTAAATGAACAAGTCTTGCAGTTTTACATTAACGTGAAAAATTGGAGATTTTTTAGCGCTATATTTACACCCTTAATGTATAGGTCGTGCCCCTACACTGGGGACCTTTAGAAGTTGACGATGATACTTATTTTTATATACGATGAAATTTAAAATAGTGATGGCAGCCCCTGACGGATATTGTTTTTTATTAAGTTTATAAGTAGATAAACATGTCATTACCGTCTCCGTTTCGTCGTGGGTAAAAAGCATCAAAAGTAAATCGAAAAAAGTTGACAATCAGTATGTATTATTCGTCTAGGCTTCAGCGGGGATGAACGGGTCGGCAGGTCTCTCAACTTTGGTTCCGACCGGTTCTTCGCGTCCCTTCGTTCGTAGCACTATGACACAAGGTTCCTTGAGTTACTAGCTACCTAATTTTGCTATAATGCACAAACAAAACACTAAGTACAAAGCTCTTTGTACTGCAGTTGAGTTGTGCGTCGGTAGCGCATCTCAAATACACTCGTATGTTTGTCGATTATCGTTCAATCGATTTTGTTAATTTGTACTTATATAATCTTTCAGTTACTCTTTATACTAAAAAGTGATTAAATAGCTTTTTTCAAAAAAATTCTCAGGAAGTTATGTCGCAAGAAAAAAATGTTTCAGTTGTAGGCACTTTTTGATCAAGTTACAGCTTAATCATCCGATACAAAACAGGTCGGAGCCTTCATTTAGTCAGCTATTATCTCAATTAGCAATCCGAGAGTTTAATTACCTTTTCTCTTCAGATTTACGATCGACCGCATTTATTTATCAAAAGGCTCCCATGCACGCTTTAATTATGCCGGGCGAAATTGGATCACTGATGTAGTAATAAACATCTTTATAAAATAAATCATTCGTGTTAAACAAAACAAAATCCTACGTCATGTCGTTTCGTTAGTATTATTATATAACTTTGAGATATTAGGATATTAGGATATAGTTAATACAAATTTTTACATGTACCCATGTAAAAATTTGTATTAAGTTAAAACTTACAAAACTTTATTCATCAAAGACATTCCGTCCATTATTATAGTTTAATAATGTTAAAAATACATATAAATCACATCAAACATTATTTCATCTGTTAAATAATGTGAAAGAAAGAATAAAAGTTAATGGTGGTAAGTAACAGACAATTATTGTTTAAAAAAAAAAAGGTTAATTATTATAACAAAGTTTAATCTATCATAAAAATTAGCTAAAGAAGTGTAAAGTCAAAGACTTCATATAAATAGGAAGCCTTCATACCTATATGATATGTTATGTAATGTCCCCTAGGTAACGGACTTGATTAATACGACTAAATTGGCTTATGTCAATGTTATTTATTGTTTTATCTAAAAATGTTATCCGGGTTTGTATAGTCTGAAGCACTCCTCGCTTTATTGTATTTTACGCAGTAAAATTGAGGGTATTGTAATGTCGGTTTCGGCCAGTTCGTGGATCGCGGATAATTTGGTCTTTCTTCGATGTCATTTTGCGTTTTCCTCCTGATTTTCATGCTTATAGTTGCGCCATTACATAGAATTACTTTGCTTGAAATTTTCACTGCTGGTTAAAGAAGTCTGCAATTTTTGACCACACAATAGGTCGCCCCACCAATTGATTATATACTTGTCGACAAGTTTATAATCGAAGGCCCCACCGTTATGTATAAGATTAGACTAACTAAAAATCCTCAAAGTAATACCGACACCTTAAATGTATTATTCGTGAGGCTATTGAAATTAAAATACCCATACTGTAATGCTACAAGATATAAACCACTGTATATATTGGAATAAATAAATTACTAAATAGCTAAAAGTTGAAGGTAGACGGGACTCGCTATATACGATATTTTGGAGAAAACCATCTCAGTATTTCCCGTAACTAAGAACCCTGTAAAGGGTTCCGAACGTCGGGAATGAAACTCAAAATTAAATTCAGATGTATTTGCGTAAACTCAAGAAACAATTATATTTCACAGTGTTACGTTTGGTGAGATATTTGTATAATTTTTCGAATTACCTATGTCAATTGAAACAACCAGAAATAACAGCTGATAATACAATACTGACATACGGCGGACCTGTAGTTCTCGTGTTTGAAATGTAAATGTTATGCGAATGCGATTAGAAATGGTGAATTTGCACACCATTTCTAATCAATGCATTGCAAATCAGCAAGGTGGACTTATTGTTATCAGTTAGCTTCTTACTTCTCAGTTTATCTTTTTTGTAATTTCTATTATGCGAGCCCAATGAAATTATTCTTGTTTTGAGATTTATTTAGAAGGAAACAAAGATTCTAGTTTGCAAAAGTTTCCAATAATCTATCGTTTTTTAAGGACATAACTAAGCAATGCTTGTACTATGGATGCTAGGTAACTGCTAAAAATACTCAAACATACTTTTATTTTGTAAGTAAATATTATATATCATAGATATATGAACACCCAGATGCTGGAAAAAGACTATTTTCATCACACAATGTTTTCCAGTAGAAATCGAACCCACACCCTCTGGTCACTGACAGGTTCACTGTCTTCTGCGCCACTTCCACTACGCCAATCGGGTCGTTTTAGATTTCAACGAGTTTATTATGTTTATATCCTGGGATCCTTAGAAGAGATTTTGATTTGAAATATGCGTAGTATCTATATAGTTACCGTATCATGAATTATTAAACAAAATGTGACCAGTAATCTATTACGATAAACTAGTTCTTATTCGTACCTTTAGAATCGCTTTTTTAATATAGTGTATATATTGGGGGTGAAAACTTTAAATAGGTCAGAAATATGTGCTTTTAAAAGTCCAAAAGTGTTTAAAAACATCTTATACCTAATGGAGCCTTGTCTAAAAATAAAATATAATTTTTCTGATGTCAGAAAATAAGGATATGGGAACAATGTTTTTTTTAATGAAATAAAACTCTAAAATATAGGTGTATAATGTAATCTATATTAGGGGTCTTAAAGATTTATTTGTCAATAATGATTATCATTAAATTATAGGTCCTACATGTACAAAATTTATATATACAGAAATCATGCATTCATAATTAAAACTATATTAATTATTTTTAGATATAATATTTTTGACACAACAGGAATTAACAAAAAAAAATATTTTCCGTCATATCAAGTTTTTCAAGGAAAGAAATAAAATATTGAAAACAAATTCTATAACATCAAATCCAAGATGTTGAGAGTTGCCATTTACTCTTCCATATCTTATTCACACTAGTTTAAATTGACGATATTTCATAAAACAATTCTTATTATAATAGTTTCATCCGTGACACGCTATAATTAATTTGTTTGCACCATTGTGTTTCGGATAGAGGTACTAGCCTACAGTAATCCAAAACAGCCTATTGCTGTTCAATTTCACCTAATGTTTTTGAGTGACACAATATTGGCAGTACGTCACTCAAAATAACATAGTTAAATATCATAAACACCAAAAGAATTTACGATTTCCACGTATTTACACAATTCTATGCTTTAATATTTGGCACATTACGCATTTCATGCACACACACACTGCCTTCTATCAAATCTACTGGTTCTGAGCAAATATAGGTATGCGAAGAGATATCTACAGAAATACAATACAGCTTCACCACAAGTACATTTTAATGTGGATGAGTTTTTATATTAATATAATTATGTATTTACACCCGCAATCAGTCGTATGTATTATAATTATGACGAACAATAATTTATAAAATAGTAAACATTACGTTTCGCTTATTGCAATACTTCTTTTGTAATTACTTAATAAGTGTTCGCTATCACAAGGGAACATCGATTAACGATATCAATTTGTAAAATAAGTCGGATAATAAAATTACAATTGTTAAATTGTCGACGGCAAATGAAGAATCTCGATTGGCACTATATGCAGTCCTAAATAGGCCGGACTAAAAGCTAATAAAAATGTTAAACTATGTAAAATCGTAAATCTACTTTAAATGTAGAAATCGAATAAATTCTGATGTCGTATCGATAAAATTATCGCATTATTAGATAAAATCGTCACAAAATTATCATTTTCACAACCAGGTGTTGGGTAGCTAATGAATGAATCGAATTCTATGAGATATGGTTGATCTATTTCTCTTCACTAAGCCCTACTTGAAAAGGGTATTGGGTATTGTCAAGATAGTCAAGTCTGAGTTAGTGATATCCAGATATAGTCTAGAAGTTGCTATCGTAGTCGGAACGACGACGCGAGTAGTGAGAACGAGGATACTCGCCGGTGTATCCGTATACTTGCGAACCGCCGCCTGTCTGCCCATACAACTGAGAGCCTCCATAGCTGCAAAAAAACGTATGATATAATTAGAATATAATTATACCATATATAACTATACAATTACACTTTAAACAGTTCTGTACTGACCCGTAGCCGTTTCCAGTAGCTCCATACAACTGCGAGCCACGCCCGGAGTCGGGTGTGTAATGTTGCATGTACTTGTTTAATTGCGGCGTCCACTCTGATCTCCACGAATCGCCAGGGTTTGGGTACGCGAGCTGTTCAATAAACGCCGTTGACATTCGCTGCAAAATTCAAAATTACTTTTATTCAAAATATGTTCAAGATTAAATCACATGTACGAGTATGTACACTTTTTATATCACAGGTTTTGGGTTTCGCAACCAAAGGGTAAAACGGGACCCTTTTCCTGGGACTTCGCTGTCTTTCTGTTCGTCTGTCTGTCTGTCCGTCTGTCTGTCTGTCCGTCTGTCACCAGGCTATACCTCATGAACCGTGATAGACAGACAGTTGTTGACGCATGATGTATTTCTGTTGCTGCTATAACAAAAACTACTAAAAAACCAAATTAAAAATATTTCAGTCGGGCTTCCATACAACAGACATGATTTTCGATTTAACCTGCCTTCCATGTTTTATGCGTTCACTGGTATTAACTTACCTTCCCTGAGGGGATATACGGCAAATCGCGTTCCTTCATTTGATGTGTATCTTCAAAACCTCCCATATGGCTTTTATCTAATTCTCTTAGCATATCTTCACTTAAAGGTATTGGTTGTTTTGCTTTTGCACTTTTTTGGCGATTAACCAGCTGAAAATAAAAAAAAACATGTATATAATATGTGCAGACACACATTCATTCCGGACCTTATCTTTAATCATTATCTTTACCTGCAAGGGCAGGATGACCCTACTAGGTCCCTACGAGACCCTACCTAGGTCGGATAAAGATCTCACCTAGGTAGGGACTTCACAACATGTTAATGATGTTGTAAGCGGTTTCTGCTTTGTTTTTTACGACCAGCCGCCTGCCTGACGTCAACACTCGCCGGTGAGTGGGTCAGTTTATTTCTCAGTATCAGTTCACAAAGGAGTTTTATGTTTTCCAAATCGCATGTTTAAAGATGAATGATTTTGTTTTTACATTTATGTTAAAACCAAGGTTTTATATAGGTCAGGAGTCCCTTTTGTGGAAAGTTAACATAACGAGCTGTCTACACCGTAGGCTCCAATGACGTTATAACGTTGTGCAAAAGGAGTGTCATTGTAGTTATACTTACCACGGTAACACCAAAGATAATGACGAAGAGTAGTGAAGCCATAGCAATAACAATTACTGCTATACCCCATTGCGGGAGGAACGCTTCCTCATCAGGTTGGATAACAGTAGGTTCTCCCCGCTTTGGTAATACTGTAAAAAAGCAAAATACAAAGTAATCCTTTATGAAATTTTTAATAATACATTTTTTATAATAAACATAACCACTTTAAAATTTCTATTACCAATAAATTCTGTATAAGCTGGATCCATTATAAACTTTCCCATTTCTAATTTTCCGGCAGATTTATCTATTGTCTTTGTCATTTGTTCGTTGCTCTTTCTCATTTTATCTTCATCGGGTTCATCACCCAGCATCACATCGGGATCAAATATTTCCTCTATAACTTGCTCTTCCATTACAGATCCTATCTTAGCTTCGTTAAGCGATTTGTGAAATAATCTTTTTAATTGTAATGTATCCACTCTCCCCTCAACATCGTTTAATTCTATGAAATAGTCAACGAGGACTGATCCCTGAGTAAATCCATCGATGCGAATGCCTTTGTACCACTTTCTCAAAAGGTCTGATTTTGAGTACACTGAATTCAACTGAAATATTTGTGAAAGAAATATGTATTTTAGTGAATAATATTTGTCTATTTTTATTAAATAAGATTGTCTAAATTAAACATTTAAGCATTAGGTTTTTAAAACTAAAACTCATAACAGCAATGATAATAAAAATCCATTAACCTCTTCTTTCACTTCCTTTGCTAATTTCTGCCATTCTTCTGTATGATGATCTAACAACTCAGGTACCCATTTAACACCTGGAACACAAAACTGCGTATTAATTAAAAGTTTTTGATTATAATAAAATAAGAAATAGTATTCATCGACTTCCCGCACATTACCCTCTCTGTTATGACTAGTACGAGGCTGCCACTCAAGAACCTTTCCTCTCCGTCGGTTATAGATTCTACGAGCTATATGGCTGGCTCATTGCCACATACTAATAAGCTTACTAATCTTCTGAGATGTGTCGGTAATATTTGTTCTACTAAGAATATCTTGATAAAAGCTCTATCAGGCAGGGAAATAAAGAGAATAGCCCGCTTCACAACTGCGCGCCGAACTTTGAGCTTCTCTGGAAATGTGCGGGAAGTTGGTGAATGCAGGTGGTTATGATTGTGGGGGAGGCATATGTTCAACAGTAGACTCTAATAGGCTGAAATATGAAATACAGGATGATGATGATGATGATGAAGTAACGGCGGAACTTTCTTGAATCTTCTTATTGTAATTAAACAATGAATTAATTTTATTGAAATTTAGCGATGTTTATATAACAATACCTGCAACAATTTTTATAGTAGCTGCTATATCACATTCATGTCGACAAATGCCAGGTGTAGTGGGCGCTGGAGGTGCTGCAGTCGTGGTAGTCGTTGTCGTAATTCGTCTCGTGGTTGATTCGGTACTCAAAATATTAAAAGGAGTTGTAGCAGTGGCGTTTCTTTGAGCCTCCAAAAGTTTTTCAATGGAAAATGGAGTAGTAGACGGAGACGGCCAGCCCGTAAATTCAGTAGAAGCCCTAGAAATTTGTAAACACTTATAAGAAGAGATTTCCGTTCTTCTGGATTCAGCTTTAACTAGCTTTAATAATGTTATGGTATATGTGGAATTAAAATGTTTTTGGTTTCATTACTTGACTACCAAATACACACATACATTAGGTACTACTTTAGAGGTTTCATTAGGTTCGTCTCAATTGTGGAAGTGAAATAACGTACATTATAGTGGAGTGATATCACTCCACTGTCGCTACCATATGGTATATTAATATGGTGTCCGCGAAAAAAAAATATAACAATAGTTATAATTTTTAATGAGGCCAAGTATTTTGCCTCACTAAATAATTTTTTGCTTGTTTTCCTCCTATTTTTAAAATTAATGTTTGAAATAAAATGGCTCAAAATTTAAGGTAAGAAATTAAAAATTATTATTACCTTGTTGGCCAGCCCTTTTGAATTTTCGGTGTCACTGGGCTTGGACCCATTTCCGAACTTGGTTTTGGTGTAGTTTTTCGTGTCATCTTTCCACCAGGTCTTGAAGGGAAAACTAACTTTATTCCACCCGGAGCCTTTGTACTTGTGGTGCTAGCACTTGATTCGGTGGATTCCTCTGATGAATTCAAGTTAAAACCCGGTGGTAGAAAATTGGAAATGTCCGCTATTTTAATTTTATTTAACAAATTTTCACTTGGTTCTGTTTCACTGCTGTTCAATTTATAGTTTGGAGGTAAAAGTGCAGATAGATCAACGGGCACTGCATTAACAGGTATTTTGATTTTAGGAGGTTCAGTTGATGATTTAGGGGACGTTTTATTTAAGTTAAAACCTTTTGGCAGAAGTGCTGAAATGTCTTCTTTCTGGACTTTACCTAAAATATCACTATCATCATCAGGTTTTGATGGTTCAGAATCAGGGGGCTTATAACCGAGAGGAAGTAGTTTGCTTAGATCATCTTTTTGAATTTTTTTAAATAAATCTTCCGGGGGCTTATTTTCTTTGGGCTTATATTCCTTGGGAAGTAATGATTTGACATCGAGTATGATAACTTTATTTTTTGAATTTATTCCAGAAGATCTTGCCTGAGTTCCATTTATAATAGAAGATTGGGTTGAATAAATTGTGGGAGCGGCGGTAGTGATAGTGGTAGTAGTCGTAGTTGTTGTTGTTGTGGTTATTGTTGGCGTTGTACTTGTACGCTTATCTTTGAACGAAAGTTTTGGTTTAAAACCTGGAGGTAATAATCCTGAAAGATCATCCATAATTGTCACTAAGGACGGTTTCTTTCTTGGTTTTGCTGTGGTTGATGATGTTACGCGTGGTGTGAACTTTTTAATTAAAACAGGTAAAGGATCAGGTGGTGATCGTTCTGTTATAGAAGTGGGCTGGGTGCTTTTTAATGAAAATACATTAAGGGATGTTGGAGTTGAAGATGAGGCAATATTTTTAGAAGTGGAATGCATTTGTTCTGTTGTGGATTCAGTTATATGTTCAATGTTCTTATTTTCACTGTTTAAATGCCCTGACAGTACACTACTCGATAACTCTGATTGAATACTGTCTAGTTTGTCATTGATGTTTTCAGTAGACGATGAACTGTTTATAAGGCTACTTTGATCAAGACCATCACTGCTTGTAACGATTTCATCATCATCTTTCTCATCCGTTAGGACCTGCTTTTTTTCTTCTTGTTCCACTGTAGGGAAAGGTAAAAATCGAGCTCCCGATACACTACGACTAGTTTGAACGGATGCAACAACTATCCAATTCTCAGTTGTAACCGGAGGAAGACCCTCACTGCTATCATTAAAATGATCAGATGTGATATTTCCTGTGGGTTTTGAAGTACTTGGTGGATAAGTCACATTGGGGATTGATATAGTTCCATTCACTACACTCTTGGTTGTGACAACAGAAACCACTTCTTGGCCCAAAATTGACGGAGTCTCAATAGAAGATATATCTTCACTAGAGTACACTTTTATATTTGGTGCAGTTGAATTGTTGGATTCATTGTCTGGTTGATCTATGACGGTTGTGTCAGTAAATTCTTTAAAATTATCGTCTTTTACCATTGCGTTAATAGGTTTCATAACAAGAACATCGAAAGTTTTTGTTGAATTTCTTTCAACTTCATCTACCTCTTTTTCGGTATCTACTTCGGTAGCATCGTACTCGTCATATATATCAGTAACTTGGTCTGTAGATGATTCAGGTGCAGAAGCTGTAGTTGTTTTGATTTCAGTATTTTCTGGCTCATCATAGTATTCAACGTATTCACCTTCTTCATCTACTTCTTCACTGTCATCTTCATTTGATATTTCAGATGTTGGTGTTCGATTGGTAGAAGAAGATATGTGGGATTTATTTAAATCTTTATCCGGAGATGATAACTTTAATAAATCTTTAGATATATTATCCGGATTCATGAAACTAGCATCTGCTCTGCTATCATCAGGCAAATCCACTTCAGAATTATTTTTAGCTTTTATAACTTGTACATCAAAAGAATTACGATTTTGTTTCATTAATTCCCTAAATGAACTTAAATCACTAATGTCATCTTCGAGTAACGGTTCTATATCTAAAAGTGATTTATATTCAGTAGAAGAGCCATCATAAATATGTTTATTCTTTATTGTATTAGAATTATTGTTTAAATTTCCAGAGTAAAGTAAATTTGTTTTACCGACATTTGTAGGGCTATTGAAATGCGAATATCGCGAAGTATTTGGTTTAACATTCAATTTTTGCTTTGATATAAAGCTATTTGGATTATAAGTTGTTACTCTATGTTTATCATATAGGTCTTGATTATTGTGTTCTTCATTTTCATCTTCATCGTGTGAAATGTGACCACTTTGTCCATTACTCTTTAGGCTATTTCCATCAAATGGAAGAGTTTTGAATCTATTATTCTGTAAATAATCGATATCGGGATTATTAATTGTTATTTGACCCAAAAAGGTTTCCTGTTTTGTTGGATCGTTTTGGTACGCTATAGAGTGGATTTGACTGACGTCAGGCCTTTTAGTAGATGCCGGATGAACAATTTTATAATTATATGGCAACGATGGCTGAAACCTTTGGCGTTGCGAGGTACTAAATTCTGGTTGATTTACGTAATATTGAGTACCCGATTGGCTTCTTCCTGTGGGTATCTGGAAAGGTGATGGGTTTTGGTTGTAACTGGGACTTGGAAAACGCACTTGCCCACTGTTGTACAAAGGTTTTTGGGTATTAGGCGAGACACTATATCTATCTTCTTGTTCAAAAAATGAAGATGATCGAGTGTTTGGAAACAAAGGCGGCTGAACTTGAGCAAAGTTTCTTTCCACTGGCGTATAGTAGAAGTCGTTTTCATCTGTAAAAATATTGCATTATTACAATAATTATCAATCATTTTAAACTATTGATTCAGTGAATTGTAAACTTATTTAGAACTACCTATTGCACAAGATCTCCGGTAGCCATAACTACATTTAACTTTTTAACATCAGTTCTAATTTCATCTTAAAATTTAGTTATCGTATTAAGAAAATATATACATCAAGAAAAACGAGTTACCTATATCAATGAAGATTGAAATTATCGGACAAAGCAAGTCTAATCACACACCGTAAAATAAGAATATAATTGAATTCTACTTGAATGCTGTTAACATGTACACATTTTTAATCTAAAAAAGGGAATAAATGTATATTTTGTGAATTTAATGTAATAAAATGATAAGATATTATGCTTTATCATATTTTCTCTATATAACTATATAAATAGCAATTACAGCAGCTCATATTTAAACAAGTCCGCAAAGTTGCTAGGTATACTTTTAGTTTACTGCTCGACTTATGTAGTTTTACGAGTATTTTCTTGCTGACGTAAGGTAAATTAATTTTATTTACGAAGTTACCGACCATAACGTGGTCGTATCAAAAGTAGAACAATGACAACAAGTTTGCTAATATGATGTACGTAATTAATATTTTAATTTCATTTGGAAATAACACATTTAGAGTATTTAAATTTGCACTCAATAAATATTTATCAATTAGTAATGCAATAGTTCAAAAAACCTAATGACGATAAAATTTATTTGTGATATATACCTATTTCACTACATTTTAATCCCGTCAATGCTTACAACATACGAATTTTAATTACGTTTCCTGCTTGTTCATAAATTTCAAATAAACTAAAATAATAATTACTTTAGTAATAACTGCTATTAATTTAATTTCGTAATAAAGTTTTTACTATCATCGCCTTTATTTAATAAAAAAATTGACATCAACCTAAACTAATGGACGTATAAAATGAACGAGATGGCTTTCTTGTGCGTCATATTCCTAATTAAGTACAGGGCCATAATCGGCGGAGCTTTAACGAAGACGTTGCCGAACGTAATAGAAAATCAATAATTCACATAATGTCGAAAGTTTTTCACCAAGCTGTATTTTCCCGTAGAAAGTAAGTTATTCTGAAGTATACACGCGTTTTTAATAAATGTACTTTGTTACTGTGGTAGGGCCACGCAATAGTCTTCTATGTTGCACGAATGGGCACGTCCGTCCGGGGAAGTACCACGACCTCACAGAAGACCAGCCCGAAGTGGAAGTTTTATACTTCTGCGTTTGGTCTGGTGAGCGAGGTAACTAGGGCCCACTTCATTAAAAGCTGGCAACGCATCTGCAACCCAACGGGTGTACTAACTGTCCATGGGCGGCGGTTATCTATTAACATCAGGTGTACCGCTAGCTAGCTTGCCATCTTTTTACATAAAATCTATCGTCAAAATATTATACAAGGGAGAAACTTCTTTGCACATATTTTCTTATTCAAAATATTATAAAATCTTTAACCTATTTTCTCAAGTAAGAAGTATTTAAAATTAATGAATTCTCGTTTAAAAAGTTATAACTTTCCTTATGATGAGTGAGGTAACTGGAGCCCATATGTGTTTACTTATCCCTGATATACAGTAACTTAAATTTCTAAACTCATAAAGTGCAGTATACTAATTTTTTACTCGTATATGAAGGTATTACCATTCCATTTATAACTACGAGTATATGGTAAGGAAATATTACAAATTTAATTGATAATTAATACCATAACGTCATCTAAAATGGGTTAATTTGTGAGTACATAAAAATATACGAAATGTTATAGATATGTGTTTTTATTAATCGCAGCATACATATTACATGATTTATACCGTTAACCTCATGCATACATAGTTATATAATTTGAAATTTCAAACAAATAATTAAGTGACAATGGCTAAAGTATAGTGTTAAAAGATGTTTAATATGTAGAAGTACAATAGATGCTTGAAGACTGTGCCACTGATTTTACTTTTCACAAAAAAAATCTACATATCGACATACAATGGGGTACTTTTTTAGATAGCCAGCTTAATATCTGATTCATATTGGGGTAAAATATCAGTGACATGCACCATGTTTTATTTAACGAATTTTTAAGTTAAAACCACTGGCTTAAATTTTCCTCAATGCACTGCAACGGTTCCATGGTTCGTCAAATATTGGTATTTAATATTTCACACATTTTCAATTATAGAGTCAGTATATAACTATTAATTTTGACAGGGCCTACAAAAGCTCTAGAAGTTGTGGTACTCCTATCTGTATATGATACCTAAATGTACGAAATATATATATATATAGATTGTTCATTATACTATGTATTTACGAGAAAATATGGTTATTAAAATCGATTGGCGTTGAATTTTATACTAATGGGTTGCATATTAAAAATGAGTTAAAAATCTTGTTATTTTTTCGTTTAAAACTTAAATATTACTACACACAACATTTGAACAACAGTTGAACAACACCTGTGCGATTGTTTACAACAATTTATAGGATAATACATGAGAAATAATAAATATCTAATTTGGTTAAATTTAAGCAGCATTTTTATTACGGACGTATTTAAAATTCTTTATTTTTGTCATATATTCATACTTGACACATTATAAACATATATTTATTACATTTAAATATTAGTTTTATAACATTTTTACTGCTTTTTATACATATAAATGATTTATTTATTCGCTATGTCGAAATGCTCGGGGTTATAGCTGCACTAATTCAGGTGCCATGTGAAAAAGCCTTAATGGCGATCACATGCGGTCGGTGTTCGTAACTTAGCACTGAATTATAAATAGAGCGCCAGTTAGTCGGCACACGTGGGCGACTAGGTCCGATGTTGTCCGCCTACATTAGGCGAACTGACAATTTTATTTCGCCTTTAAATTCAAATAAATCCCCTCCTTGTACAGATTGCGAGCGGTACTAAAGTGCAGTGGGTTTATATTGTATAAATTTAAATCGGTACCCAAGCATGGGTATGTAAATTCGCACTTTTGCCCTTTTCAGAGTAGAAAAACAAGCAAGTGTTTGACAAGTAGCCATTATTACCGCCCATGGTTACACTCAACACTAAGGATGTTACCGGCTCAAGCGATCTTTGATTTTTAAGGTTTTTTTATCTGTACAGTTTAAAGCAGCAAAGAAATGAGTGAACATTGTGTTCAAAACATGTACGTTATAAATTCTCTCGATAGAAAAAACAATGAAATGAATTTTAAGTGAAAAAAAATCTTTATATTAAATGGTCGAATCTTGATAAAATTCATATGAATCATGGAAAATATTTTATTAACTGGGACTTTTGTTTTAACATGTCAATTGAATTTTTTTTAGTTGATAAGCTGCCAAGCGAGCAGGTAGTTCACCTGACGTTGAATACCACCGCCCATGGACATCTGCTACACCCGAGGGTTTGCAGATGCGTTGACAACCTTTTGAAAATTGGGCTCCGGCTACCTCACTCACCAGACGAAACGTGAAAGTATATAACTTCCACTTCACGCGGGTGTCTCTTCTCAGAGGTCGTGGTACTTACCCGGACGAGCCTGCCCATTCCTGCAACAGCTGAAGCTGCTGCAGGAATGGGCATCTCATGCTCTACCACCGTTAAATAAGCCTTTAACTAACTAACAAATTGCGTAAAAATTTTCGTAACGAAATAAAACTTGAATTGAGTTCGGATGACATAACTATAATTTGGCATCTTGGATCCTAAGTCATATGATTTATTTTGACTAGTCCAATACCTTAGGTTTGGTACCTTACGAGATTCTAGCGAAGGAGCTAGGAGGTAGATGGTGGAAGTCTTCAGTATTTACCAAGTAAACCGCACGAGTTCTATATCAGTAAAGATCATAATGATAGTAAAAATACAAGTTATTTAAATGATATCGTTGCAGCGTAAAGTTACGTAATTCAATGTAATATTAATATATGTATATAATTAGATATAAAAATTGGATACAACATGCCTATTCTAATTAAAGGTTATATTGAAAAATAATGCGTAAAACCAATAAAAATTATATCATTTGTAAGGACATCAGGATAACTCAATTTGGGTTTGTTTTTTTACACGAAAAAAGGTGCTTTCGTACAGTCAAAACATAATTTAAATTTAAATCAAATATCACATTTTCTCCTTTAAAGTTTTTAATACTATTTTTACTTACCTTGACATTGTGTATCCTTTATGATAAAAAGCAGAAAAGCAGCAATAGTTACAATTCTCCAGCGGCGCCTTCCCATTTTGTTTGATCGTTTTTCACCGTATCATTTATAGTACTTAGTTATCACTTCAAACTATAGAGGTTTCTGATCCTTTAAAAAAGCCATAACGCAAGCTTATGCTCGGAGTCATCGAATAATGCTGCTTTATATCGATTCGCTCACATCTGAAACAATTGAAAAAATGTTGTTGGAAAATATTTCTGCGTTACGTTTATATTCACTTTAACATATGTAAAACAACTGATACGCGCATAACGATAACGCACGCTATCAAAAAACGTCTTTGTAAAAAAATAATACAGCAAAACCAACATCGAAGTCGTATTTAAATTACTTTGTAGCGTTCACAACGTACCATTCCAGTCTGCTATTATTATAATGTTTTATCGATAAAGGATAAAGAAAGTACAAAGCGGAACGGTGTCTGAATTTTGATTTCATCGATGAGATTCCATATAAAAATTCTGAACCTGCAGCAAGTAAGTCAGTATAAGTGGTAAAGTATTTAATGTGTCAGTGTACGTGAGGGGAGTACAGAGTAAGAACAAACCAATCGCAAAGAAATTCAATTAGAGGTATAACACAAAGACAGGTCAAGTTATCTATAAAGGCCTAGGCGAGTTATTTTATATATAAAATATTTTACCAGTCGTTCCCTTCCACTTGGGTCGCCGGATCAAGATTTATATATTATATTATCTTTTAGCTAAGAATTATATAAAGATAAGAATGGTATAATGAAACAAAATGAACTTAAATCGAAAGCATGATAATTACCAAAAGCCCGTAAATAATTAAAAATTAAGAATGGTAATAAATTCACGTATACTCAAAGTTTTTCCACACTTTCTGTTCGGCGGTCTCTGAGATTTAGTTACCCTTAGAACAGTGAGATTAAAAATACATCTATTTCCAATATTTACGCGAATCCTACGTAAATGTAATGTAAGGAAACCGCAACCCGGATTTTATGGATTCGATTTATAAAACTAATAGCACGCAGAAACAACGCAGAAAATTGTAGGACATGTATTTATATTATGTGAATAATTTGTATTTAGGAAAATTAAATTATGGCCCAAAATGACATTTAAGTTTCTAAATTTATAACTATAAAACTGAAATTCCAAAATTCCACCTCCACCGAAGGACACCGAAGTTTCATTAATAGAACTTAACTTCAATTTTAAGAAACGCACATTTAATTATAAACGTAATTGTGCATTCTTAACACATAACTACATGGAGAATCAATAATATTCGCAACAAATAATGTTCTAACGAATATTTATCACAGTATTTGTTACAAGCCTAGTGTATAAAGCGGATTGCATCTTCAATAAGAAACCAGAGAAGTGACGGTGAGCTGGCACAATGAATATACAAATATTACTATGGACGCATGCCTTTTTAAGAGAGCATCGGTGAATACGAAACGTAGTGAAACGTAACGTGACGCGTACGCTGCTCCACGTACATACGTCGGTGGCGGCTTAGCGTTCGGATCGTGAAAGCGGTGCGTCACGGCCCGATGGTCAGTTTCTCGTATACGCACTCCCATAATGACGGATGATTATTGCCACTAACCTAAATATTACTGTCTTATAGCCCATAGCATATGTCAAGCTAGTAGCAAAAAGGCACAGAATCGTAAGCGTCGTTAAGGTCATGATGTGCGAGCTGATTTTGAAAAAGTTTAAAATAAATATTTTAAAAAGCAATGTTAAAATATTGGTGGCATTACAAATTTTGTGTCGACATACATCATTCATTTTAGTAGCGATCAAACGGCAAAAGTATTTTATTTTTTTATTGGTGCGGTATTTATTTGTTTGCCCGTCGTACATATTAAATAAAAATAAACACATAGATATAATATTGTATAAAATACATGAATAAATAGTATCTAACCAGACCGAAGCCCTCGGCAGGGGAGACCAAACGGCCGAGGATTAGAGAGAGAAACCGGCGGACGACATTGGCGGTATCGAGGAGCACAGCGTTCTGAATTTGAGCTTGGAGCGATCCGTTCCGGAGTCCCAGTCGCCTCAGATGTTCGGAGAGGCTGACTAAGATTAACCCATTCGCAGAAACGACTATCGGGATAATTTCGGTCGGACACACCACCCCACATGTTGGTCACCTCGTGAGCCAGGTCCAGATATTTTGTCTTCTTATCTGTTTCAGCTTTTACGATTTTTTCGTCATACCGAATGGTAATGTCAACCAAAAATACCCGCAACTGAGTCCGGTTCATCAACACGATATCAGGATTGTTCGCGAGAAGCCTAGCGCGCTCATTTTCGAGTACGCCCGCCGGATAGCACATACAGTACGGCAGATTCCCATACTACGAGACCGAATTTCAGAGTAAGCGTAGGATTTGGACTACCAGGTTGTGTCTATACAGATTTATGCAGAGACTGAGACTCAGAAATAGAAAGCAAGGAACAACCGGAGAAAACATGCCGAAGCGACTCCCCGGGATTGCGACAAGCTTGACAGATGTCGACGGTGCCATCCCCTAGGTTGTATTTCCAATAGTTGTTTCCGACTTCGAGGACGTATGGAAGGAGAAAGAGCTCCACGGGAAGTTCTACAAGGTTCTACATGAGCCTTTAGATACTGTTGCGTCCCTTAACTGGTTACGTTTTGGTGACCTGTTTGGGGAAACCGAAGGTTTTGTCTGTGCGATACAGATTCAGGTTATTAAGAAGAACAACTATCGGAAACACGTCCTAAGAGATGGCACCGCCTTAAATTATTATTATTGTGAATTTTAATTATAGCTAGTATGTTATTTACCAGATTATGACTGATTTATTGAAATCAGAGCAGAAAGTAATAAGGTCACAGTCTAATTTTATTATTGTTTATAAATAAAACTGAAATTTTGAATGGCTGTCGTCTGTGCGCTGTTGAACGATTCCTCTGATTGTTAGGAATCTTTGGTGAGCCAATCTCCTTACACTCACGAAGTTTCCTGGCCAAAAATTAAATATTTTTTCTTCGTATATATGTGTTCTATAATACATATACACCCTGTCTGATATCAAATTTGATCCACATTAGATTGGATTTTTAATATAAACGTTAAATACTATACGTTTATATTAAAAATCATTACCATAGTTGATTACCCTTAATTATTTGCAGGAATAAATTAATGTGATTAGAAGTAAATGAAATACAGTATTAAAAATACCTTAAACTAAACATTAGAACCATCAATAATTTATTTTTGAATAAATTGCAAATTGTTATTACATGGCGATATTCACATTAGACATCGATTTGGTTTGGAAATTTTATTTTCGGTTTCTTCTCCACAACGTTTTTACTTCGATTGCAATATGTTAGTGTTTAATTGTGTGTGAGGAACGTTACACAACAAACCCTGTCTCATACAAGTAAATAACGCAAGTCTAAGCGTGTCTAAAGCAGATTTTAATTGCCTTTATTGTGGAGCTTATGAAACATTCTCACGGCCAACGCATTGTCATGTCCGTAGTCCATACCTTTGCGTCACAGCAATGTTCATTGTACATAATTATTCAATTTCGATAACTGTTTAATGACAACGGGATAGTTTATTTCTTTTTACTTACATTGATAAAACTCTTTGTTCTTTAAGCTAGCATACATTGATGATCCGATTGGTGTAGTGGGTAGTAACTCCACCTCTTGCGCCATTTGCGCCATAGGGTGTGGGTTCTATCCCCACAACTGGTAAAATATTGTGTGATGAACGTAGTGTTTTTCCAGTGTCTGAGTGTTTATATAATTATGATATATATTTATATTTGTTTACAAAAGAAAAGTATGTTTATCAGTTATCTAGTACCCATGGTACAAGCGTTGCTTATTTTGGGACTAGAAAACGTTGTGTAAAAATGAGTCCTACAATATTTATTAATTATTTATTTATTTACCTTTCTACAAACAAAACCGAAATTTATTGCTATTTTAGAATGTCCACTTGATCATGTTAGTACAAGGAAAAAAAATGCTCGTATAGGATATATCAGCAAATATTTTCATTAATGCTTAAACTGTTTTTAAATTAAATATTAAATGAAAGATATAGTTTTTGTCGTTAACCAACCTCGATGCTCAAACCTTAAACCTCAAGGTATCAATCGTACTAACAACTATGTGAAGGTTTATTTGACACTTTATACCAGTTCAGTGGTAAACATAGCACGATTCGTCAATGATCAATTATGTCGTGACTAAAAGACATAAATAGTTAGCACCAGTCGGCCACCTTGCATGAACGTTCAAAAATAAGTATTATTTGCAATATCGTTATTGTTTCTGTTTGCCCCCATTCAAATCTGTTAATTGTTGTAATGTTTTTAACTGTAAGCAATAAGTTAATAACGTAAGCTTTCCTTTTATTTTGGATTTGAAAAATATTTAACCACGGATTCGCTGGTTTTGGCTAAACAAAACTCCTATTTAGAAATTTTAAATCATTTTGAAGTACGGAGAAGCACACAGCAGCATTTAAGATCAAAATGCCAGTCGAAACGTATACTATAATACGCTGGTCGTCTTCCAGGCTTTGCCGTCAGCCTGCTAATTCGAGCAACAACGGCAGCTTTAGTGTGGACCTACCACAGTGTACATTTTTTCTATTAAATTTATGTAACTATATGTTCGAGTGTAAATTTTTAGTACCCAAAATGTGACATTATTTTTAGTAATATTTGTAGGGCTCCTTTTCTATTTACCACATTTTAAGACTCTTTAAAATCGAGATCATAAAGCTATAATTTAATATTTTATAAATTTGCTAATAAGGCGGAATGTTTTAACGATTGTGACTAATTTTTGGAATCGAATGTATCCAATGCTATTCACGTACCAATAAGACTTAAGGATCTTCAAGAAGAGGGACAGAGAGATTTTATTATTTTCTTAAATTATGTTCATGTTGGTGTCGTATCTGAAGTTAGCGCTTTCAGTCCGTAGAATATTAAAGCTTCATTGAACGCAGAATCGACAGGTTCGAG